ATCTTAGTCGACCCTTCAAGATGCAGTCGCAATCATTTGCATAAAAAATTATCCAAAACATGGCAAAAGAATCGGTTCAATGCGACTCGCCGACTCTGAAATCGGTGGTGTAAACACACCCCCCTTCCCCATAAGGCAAATTTGTTCAGTTTTTTAATTTGGATGTTCTCTAGCCTATTCAGAGGATACAATAGACTCAAGAAACCATCAATAAACCCGGGTGTCAAAACTACCAATTATACGCCAAATTGGCAACTTTGACCCCCAAAATGGGGGGTAAAACTTCGAGATAGGAAGAAACGCCCATTGATTTGGAGTCGGATTTGACTGTTATCAAATCAGATTGAATATTCAAACTGAGCGAAATGCATTATTAGGGACTCTTGAGGGTCGCTGAGTTCAGAAATTACAGATACTTCCAAAGAATTCACGTTTTTAAAATTACAGCTCTGTAGCGCTGTTTTAGAGGCCCACTGAGCGCCGACCGGCCGCTCAGCGGTCCTGTGCGGAGCTGTAATTTTAAAAACGTACAGGACCACTGAGCGGCCGGTCGGCGCTTAGTGGGCCTCTAAAATAGCGCTACGGAGCTGTAATTTTAAAAACGTGAATTATTTGGAAGTATCTGTAATTTCTGAACTCAGCGACCCTCAAGAGTCCCTAATAATGCGTTTTGATCAGTTTGAACATTCAATCTGATCTAATAATAGTCAAATCCGACTTTTTAGCGCAAAAAAATCGGTCGGCGCGCGTTGAGCGGAAACTTCAATCGATCATAACTCCGGAACCGTTTGGTTCCCCAGCTTAATGTACCACTTGTTGGATGCGGAAAAAGACGAACAATATAAAAAACTGGTTTTGGTTCAAATAAAAACTTGAGATCTTTGAAAATTTTTCGTTTAAAAGAAATTTTCTGGACCTAAAAACTGAAAAAAAGCACATATGTTGACTTAAAAATGTGATATCGGGATTTCGACCTTTGGAATCCGAAAGTATGCAATTTTAGACAATTTCTCGTCACAACCGGACCTCGATATCTTTCTTCGTTCGAGAGTTATCGAGGTTCCCAGGTTTTGAATTCCAACCCCCCTTGCTCCCCCCCCAAATTTTTTGGGGGTCTGAAAATTTGGGAAAAGAACCGCTCAAGTATGAGTAATCAATAGACAAAGTCTGAAGAAATTCCAGAGGGGGGGCGAAAGAAGCCGTTTTTGCATCAAGCGCTTTGAACACAGGAATAGAAACCCACAAAACTCCCAAAAAAAAAAAAAAAATCTATTTACAAGTGCTGAAACTTGAAATTTGTATTTTCGAGGCCCAATCAAACACAAGTGAGACACAACGCTGTTTTTTTGCCAAAGTTACGAAGTTTTATAATATTCGTCATCTTTACTATTCTTTGCTATTTTCTTCAATTTTCCCCCAAAAAAAACAGTCACACGGTGGCAGATCTTAATATTATCAGGAAGTAAAAATACGTGGCATACATCGTTTTTGGATCGGATGGAACAAATCTACGGAGCATCGCGGTCCATTTTCCGAAGTTGCCCTGAGTGGATCACCTTAGCGCATGATGCCTTGCGCGGTGCACCGGCGCCAATTTCTTTCCTTCTGCAAGATATGAAAGGGTTATTTGTTTTCAATTATGTTTTAATTTAGTGCTCAACGATGCTTTTATGAAAAATATGTTCAATTTTCAATTAAAAGTATTATATGTCACCTCTGAAATAAAAATTTGGGAAATCAGGCAAAATTTAGTATTCGAGTATTTATAAAAACCATATTCAAGAAACCTAGGCATTGTACCTATCGAGGAAATTTATTTTCAGTAATACATTGGATTATCGGGACCTACCATTGGTAAATTGCCCCTTTTAACCATAAAATACCGGAAATGTGGTCCGACAATTCGTGGTCTCTCCTTCACGATCATGCCCCAGCCCATTCTGCGCTGCAAATTTGCAAGTTTTGCACCAAAACCGGGATGAGCGTCCTTCCACACCCTCCGTACTCTCCTGATCTTGCTCCAGCAGACTTTTTTCTGTTTCTGAAACTTAAAATTCCTCTTAAGGGACAAAGATTTGACACTATCGAGGAAATTAAGCAAAATGCACTGACTGAGCTGCGGTCGATCAAATCTGAAGATTTTGGAAAGTGTTTCTCTCAGTTGCAGAAAAGGTGGGAAAAATGCATCGGTCATGGAGGGGACTATTTCGAAGGGGACAAAGCTTGATTTTACTTGTTTGTCGGTAACATTTACGAACATTTAAGCATCCAATTGACATTTCTTGTTAAATCATTTTTTTGTGTGCATATTTTGCTCTCATCACAAAACGCATGGGAACATACCGCATTTGCAGACATGTAGCATGAAATCTAATAAAGATGACTGAAATCCGTAAAAACCAGCGTGTTTGCCAGTTTATCAGCAATCAGATGAACCCAAGAAAACGTCGATTCAATCATCCGTTGGCCCGCAATGGCCCAAGTTCGGTTTCTAATGGATCATACCTCGTATTACCGATATGTTGATGATATTTTCCTCATATGGATCGGGAGGAACCAAGAACTAAAAAAATTACTTTCAGAAATGAACCAGTTAGACGTAAACATAAAGTTCAAACTAGAAGTAGGTAACAAAAACCTCAAAATCCAGGATTTATCCATCCATATAAAAAGAAATAAACTAGAATTCAACTAGAACTGTGATATGACTTATAAGTTATAAGTCGTATCACAGTTGGAAACACAAGCCATCAGCCTTCCACAGCATGATCAACCGCCTCCTTAACATCCCTATGAACAAAAATAACTACATGAAAGAACTAAAAACCATTGAAAAAATAGCCATGAATAATGGATACAACCAAAAAATGGTCCACAGATTAAATACACGAAAAAGGGAGAGGGATGTCAATTCACTGATCTTCAAAGGTACCACCAACACAGACAAAAATTGGCTAGCCATCCCATACACAGAAATTTCAGAGAAAATAAGCAGAATCATCCAAAAACGAGAGAAACCCCATGCCACATTCAGCAATCAAAATAACTTAGGAAGACAATTCTAATCAATACAAAAACCAAAAACAAGGATGAGCTAAAAGATAGTGGCACATATAAAATTGAGTGCCAGTGTGGGGATGAATACGTTGGTCAAACTGGAAAAGCAATGGGGGTAAGAGTCAAGGAACATATTGCCAACGCAAGGCTAGGAAAGAAGGGCCATTCATCACTTAGTGATCACCTACTTGATAACAAACACCAAGTAGACAAGATTAGCATACTAGGGAAGTGCGAAAAGGGCAAAATTATGAACATGCTGGAGCAACTGGAAATTGAGAGAAGAAAGGAAACTAGAAAACTACTGAACACCCAGGTCGAGAGCCAAGTGGAACGCCTGTATTTCCTCCTCCTTGCTAGACCTCATAAAGCTGGAGCCACGAGCTTGAGCGGAGTGATAAGCGCACGCTGATAACTTAATAACACATAGTTTCATTTATTTTTACTTTTAATATTTCGACAAGTTCGCGTATTTGCGAGTGCCTAAAAGTGACCTGAAGATGGACCGGAAAGGTCCGAAATGATCATCGTCATCTTATGAACACAAAAAATCAGGACCAAAGAATAAAAAGTAAGCAATTATGTTTATTATCTAATCGCACAAACCTCAAAATAATTCCCATAGTCCGGAACAAACAGCTTGGACTCATAAGTGAGGTTAAAAATAGTGCCAAACGGAAGAGATTCCTGTGACCCGCCGGTTGCAGATCCATAAAGTACCCACAGGTAACATACCTCTGTTGGATCATCCGTTGGATCCAAGAATCCAAGTCCTACAACGGGTGTATTACTCCGCAATCTTTTGGAAGAAAACCTAGAGAGCAAAAAGATAATGATAATATTGTGAAAGTTTCGAATGCATCCTAAACCGAATTCACCATCCTGTAAAATTCACATTTATACATGGTTTACTTCTACTTGGACTCTAAATTTCTTTCAAATTTCATCTTTTCTAGAGCTACGGCATTTCACTTCCAGAACTTTGAAATGCTTTTCCGTTGACGGTAAATTATCTGATTATGTACCTGAAAAATAAAAAATGAAATTTGACTCATTTGATCAGAGCTACTGGATTTCGAACAGACAGTCTGTAGCCACGCCTTGAAGTCATGAAACATCCGAGCTCGTGTACTCTCTCTTACCTTTTTGCTCTTCAAGCCTTCTTTCTTTTCACAATGGGCTTGTTGCAAACCTCAGCTGGCGCAAAACGAAGGATTGTACCTCAAAGAAAATGGCTCAAAAATCACAATGAGCGCATTGAAAAAAATCTCAGATATACTTCTAACTTCACAATCTGCTTAAGAAACAAGCGTTCTGAAAATACACTATCACACTATTATTTATTTATATATATCACGCTCCGTCCTCATGGCACCGGTGTGCCTATATATATATAGGCACACCGGTGCCATGAGGACGGAGCGTGACAGTTTTGACGACACTCTATGATTCGCTGGCGGGGAGGGGAGAGAGCAGTGTGTTCGACGCACTCGAAGAGACTGTAGACAACATTGGAGAATTCATAAGCTCGCTTTGTTTTTCGGGGATAACTCGTTTTGAGTCCACTTTTAGACAAAATTCCTGAAGGAAAAAGTTGGGGAGCATAATATTTTGAAACCAAATTGCAAGGATTCACCTTTCTGAACTGATAAATAATAATAATAATAAAAATAATAATGATATTATAATAATAATAATAATGATATAATAATGATATAATAATGATTATAATAATAATAATAATAATGACAAGCATAATAATAATGATAAGCAACCCAGCAAAGCTGGTGACAGTAGTGAATATGGAAAATAATAATGATATAATAATAGTAATAACGGTAATAATAATAATAAACAGCCTTTATTGAAAAATTCTTAGTATTAAGTTTTTTAATTTAATATAAAAGTTTTATAAAAGTTTTAAATTTCGTCCAAACCGTACGTCAATATCTGCCACCGTTCTCGAGGTATTAACAAGTAACCACACCTTGTGCACACCCCCCCAAGACACCCCCCCCCAATAAAAAACTAAGTGAAGGTTTGTGAAATATGTAGAAAAATCCACAACATGTAGCTGAATCAACCACCGCAAAACGCGCTTTGATATCTAAATCAGAAAACAATTTATAGTCAGAATTGAACATTAAAATACCTGCAGAATTGAGTGAAAATGGGGGACTTTGATCCCCTGTATCTCGAAAACCCTGTATCACTCCAGGAGCCCCAAGTGTCTCGAAACCAAGTGCATTCGCTGGTCAGCGCGAAATGACCTGATAATTATTACTCATGCCGGCACAAGTTTTCTCACGCCTTAACTGTGAAAAAATGGGCCCAAAACACCCCAAAACCAAAAAAATGGCCCAGTTTTTGGTGAATGAAGCGTCGGAGCATTTCGGGACCCTGTTCTATCGATTCCTGGTCCAGAAATACGTAGATTTCATCATGCATATATCATTTTACATATGCACACCCCATCGGAATTGATTCGTTGATCGTCTTTGAGGGCCATTCTAGCGCCAAAAACACAAAAATCTATTTCATTTTCGAAGAGCTCGACAGATTATTTCCATTTTAGGCTAAAATGACTGTGTATGCATCCTGCTTCAAGATCCCGAAGGAATTTTGAGTGGGCAAAACAGTTTCATTTACCTCCCTCTAAAACGCACCGTGCAGAGTCAAGGGTTGAGAAACCTAACTGAAATTTTACAGTTTAGGAAACTTTTTCCTAAGGTGGCCATTTCTTTTCGAGAACAGTTTCCCAGCTCCACCCTAAAAACTATACAATGTATGGAGGTGGCAGGAATCACTATAGAAAAAAGTTTCCTCAAACGATTATATAGTAATCTTTATTGGCAAATCAACATTGACGGACTTGAAGGTTAATACTGAAAAAAACTCTGGCTTCTTGTCAACTAAAAAAGAATGGCTCCTTTTTCTGAATTCTCTCACTGTCAAAATCAGATAAATCCAAAAAAGAATGATGAAAGAAAATTTCAAAATCTTCGATAAACTCACAAAAGCTGAAGAGCTGCAATATCCCAAAGCTGAAAACCACTAAAGTTGAATCCGATGACTAAAGTTGTAGTCTCTGGTATGTACAACATTTTTGACACAAAGATTGAACTGTTGTACGTGGAAGAATGAAAATCTAAATCTTTCTCTCTCTTTGCTGGAAGAGAAAAATGAAAAAGTTTGAGTAACATCAAAGTCGAGAGGGGTTTTGTTTAAAAATTTTAATTCGTAAAAAAATATGTAACACCATTTCATGATTTTTGGTCCTAACAATATGTTCAGAGCAACTGAGATGGATTTCGGGCAGGGGTCTACTGGTATCGCAAGAAGAAAGCCCATCCAAAATTAAAAAGGTGCCTCTGATAATGGGGGAAGAGGTGCTGAATGACATACTGCACCATGCAAGATGTCAGATCCAAGGAGTTGGTGTGAATGGACTTGTGCGGAGGATGGCAGCAATGAGTTGCTCATGCAGGTATTCAATTAGATTCCTCAGGGGAGGAGACACCAAAGATGTCCTGTTAGAGGTTGGCAACAGGGAGAGGAGATCTGAAGTTGTCATTGTCTGATGATTTAAGGGAGGATAGGGAGCAATGGCAATTGAGTGGTGCAGAGCAAAAAGTGCACTGTAAAAGCGACCTTTGTAAAAAATATGTTTTTTTCTTTTTTTTTTTTTTAGCGTTAAAGTTACTGTAATCTCCAAGGTTGAAATACATACAATTTTCTTAATGTGCGAATAGGTTTTTTTACAAGCAATGACTGATCAGTTACGTATCTGCATAAAGAAATAAATAATGAAAATAAATGAAAGGTATAAAATATTAATAACAATAGTGAAGAATGGTAAAGTAAAATTGAAAAATGCCCATGATGGGCTGGTGCAAATCAGACGAGCTGCATTTTTCAAACAGAGCTAGAAGTCTTGAGTCATACCCGGTTACAAGTTCCCAAGGCTTTTTTCTATTCCGTCTTCTTAATTCATTAAAAGGAGTGAGATAGCTTCCTCATTTGGATGTTGATGCAACCTATTTTTGCATGTGACAGCGGTTTCTTTATACAGTAGCCGCTTGATAATTCAAAGTTGGAGGGACCAGGGATTTTCTTCGAATCAACGAGTTTTCGGAATGGCGAGATTTCGAATTATGGAGAGCCGTTACGAAATAATTCAAAATAAAGGGAGTTTCAAATTAGCTCTATAATTCGAAGTGGTTGAACCGAATGCTATTTAATTCGAAATTGAAAGGACAATAGAAAATAACCACGATTATTTAAAGATAAGAGGCAAGAACAAGCACCCACTACCCGATAGAGTGGGAGTTAATTTGAAAGATTCATGAACATAATGTATTGTACATAATTAGAATAGCTTAAAAAAAGGAATTACAAAAATAATGGGTTCCATAAAGATAAAGACGGCCAGTTACGCAAAATGCATACTTCATTTTGAAAAAAATTCGGTGATTTTTTATTGGGTCAGAGAATCCCAGTGCGAGCGGTCAACACTGTTTTCAATCGTCCACTTTGTCGACAATTTTAAAGAACCAAGATAAAATAAAAATTTGAGTTTCTGCAGCTCAAGAACGGCTTGTTCTTATGGTTTAAACAATGTCGAGCAAAAAACATTCCAGTGGGGGGTCCTCCTTTCAAGGAAAAAGCTCTGGCGTATGCAGCATATTTAGGTGTAGCCAACTTTGTCAACAGAGGGGGGAAAAAAAAACCAGAAGAAAGAAGAGGCGGGCTGAAAGAAAAAGGGTTACTTCCTCATCAGCCACAAAACCCAAGGATGATAAAAGAGATATGGCTGCTTCCTCATCAGTCGAAAAAATGGATGATGATTTTACAAAGACAGTGCGAATGGGACCAGCTGCAAACTAAAATACAACTCACCATCTCGTTTGAAGCATTTGACAAAGGTCTTGATGTATGTATATGGCATGCTAACAGATGCTGAAAATTGAAAGTGTCCAGATGCCTGATGAATTTGATGACAATGTTGATGTAGAGGCTCAAGAACTGGCAACGCCGCAATCTGTCATTACTTTATAGCAAGCAACCGATACACTGGAAACTCTGCGCTCTTATCTCCAGCAACTTGATATTCGAGACGATGTTTCTGAAGCATTAGCCACGATTGAAAACAGTGTTGACTGCTCGCACTGGGATTCTCTGACCCAATAAAAAATCACCGAATTTTTTTCAAAATGAAGTATGCATTTTGCGTAACTGGCCGTCTTTATCTTTATGGAACCCATTATTTTTGTAATTCCTTTTTTTAAGCTATTCTAATTATGTACAATACATTATGTTCATGAATCTTTCAAATTAACTCCCACTCTATCGGGTAGTGGGTGCTTGTTCTTGCCTCTTATCTTTAAATAATCGTGGTTATTTTCTATTGTCCTTTCAATTTCGAATTAAATAGCATTCGGTTCAACCACTTCGAATTATAGAGCTAATTTGAAACTCCCTTTATTTTGAATTATTTCGTAACGGCTCTCCATAATTCGAAATCTCGCCATTCCGAAAACTCGTTGATTCGAAGAAAATCCCTGGTCCCTCCAACTTTGAATTATCAAGCGGCTACTGTATAAAGAAACCGCTGTCACATGCAAAAATAGGTTGCATCAACATCCAAATGAGGAAGCTATCTCACTCCTTTTAATGAATTAAGAAGACGGAATAGAAAAAAGCCTTGGGAACTTGTAACCGGGTATGACTCAAGACTTCTAGCTCTGTTTGAAAAATGCAGCTCGTCTGATTTGCACCAGCCCATCATGGGCATTTTTCAATTTTACTTTACCATTCTTCACTATTGTTATTAATATTTTATACCTTTCATTTATTTTCATTATTTATTTCTTTATGCAGATACGTAACTGATCAGTCATTGCTTGTAAAAAAACCTATTCGCACATTAAGAAAATTGTATGTATTTCAACCTTGGAGATTACAGTAACTTTAACGCTAAAAAAAAAAAAAAGAAAAAAACATATTTTTTACAAAGGTCGCTTTTACAGTGCACTTTTTGCTCTGCACCACTCAATTGCCATTGCTCCCTATCCTCCCTTAAATCATCAGACAATGACAACTTCAGATCTCCTCTCCCTGTTGCCAACCTCTAACAGGACATCTTTGGTGTCTCCTCCCCTGAGGAATCTAATTGAATACCTGCATGAGCAACTCATTGCTGCCATCCTCCGCACAAGTCCATTCACACCAACTCCTTGGATCTGACATCTTGCATGGTGCAGTATGTCATTCAGCACCTCTTCCCCCATTATCAGAGGCACCTTTTTAATTTTGGATGGGCTTTCTTCTTGCGATACCAGTAGACCCTTGCCCGAACTTCTTCGGCACCTAGGAATTGAAAAAAATTGGTTTGGTTCAAAGGACAGAACCCATGTTGAGCGGTGTATTTCGAATTACAGAGCTTTTCACAAGCCGTTTTCCCACCGAAAAATTCGAATTACTGAGGGGGTAAAAATACACTGAATTTTTCGAATTGACGCGATTTTCCCCGAATGATCGGAGTCGCCATCGAATTTTGGAGCTTTTCGAATTATCGGGCTTCAAATTATTGAGCGGCTACTGTATGTTCAATTGCAGGTTCTAATTCTCGACCTCTGTGGATATATTTCTCTCATTGCGCTCCGCTCTTTATATCTTTCTTGGAATTTTACCATGCTTAAATTGTAGAGGTTTTACAATGGTTTTTGAGGCACAGTCCTTAAGGAGGAGTATCGTTGAGGGCCTCTACCAGCAAGAGTATCTCAGAGTAAATTAGAGTATCTCTGACTCTGATTTAGCAGCTATTAGTGCTTACTGATATTTTCCTTCGCCTCTTGTCTTGCTCTTTGTTCTGTAGACCTTTTTGTGTTTTCCTTTCACCATGTAGCAATTTTGTAGTGCTGTAGTGGTATGAGGCCATATCACTTACGTTTCTAGGACCGCATTCCATTATGCTTCTTAGCTCATTCCGTCCGAAAGCCATCGATTTCGCAAGTACAGGCTCAGTCGAGCATGTTGATGTTTAGAGCATCTATCTTGTAGCGCCGATCATCTCGCGATCACGCCTCCGACGTCAGAGCTCGGTGGGACGTTACAAGATATATACTCTCGATCTCCGAGGCAGCGATTAGAGGTATCACCTAGCCAGTGTATCTAGTGTATATCGTTTGTATTTCAGCGAGATATAGATCAGACTATACCATTTGACTACGTGCGTTCGATCATTTCATCCCCCCCATTACATAGTGGAGACGTCGGGTCAGGAGCATTGTCATCCGAAAATTTCAGGTTAGTAGGATAATTTGAATTTAAATTAGAAAATTTTCAGAGTTGGTAGTAATTTTTCCAGCTTCACCAAGTCAAAATTAACGATAACTTTTAGTAATTTTCATTTCATTGATAGTACGAAAACAGGAAGTAAGTTGTAAGCTTCACAAAGTTGAAAACAGAAAGCGGTAAGTATTTAATTTTACAACTAAGAAAATCTACAGAGTTAGTAGTCATTTTTCGAGCTTCACCAAGTCAAAAATTCACGAAAACCATAAGTAATTTTCATTAAATTGATAGTACGAAAACAGTTAGCAATTTTCAAGCTTCACAAAGTTGAAAATAGGAAGCGTTACGTAATTTTCGAGAATTTTTTTTTTTTTTTATTATATTCTCCAATTAAGAACTACTTGCAAAACTCTAGGTAATTTTCCTTGCAATCATTCAATCCAAATCTAAAATTTTCATTTGCTTTAAAGTGAAAAATTAGCCGAAAGTCTCAAGCAAGTTTATTGGAAGAATTAAATATTCAGTGAAATTCTATCCACGGATTTTTCATTGAATTTTCTGGGGCAGCAAAAAATTATTCAAAAAATTTAGACGAAAAGTCGAGATTCGAGAATTGTCATCAGTGAAATTTTATTCGCAAATTTTACTGCAGATCATTTCTGGGACAGCAGAAAAGAATTTAAAATTTGATTAGACAAAAGTCTTCGAGAAAATTTGTTTATTATATTCGTTTATTCTAAAATTTCTAGGGCAGCAGAAAAGTAATTCAAGAAATTTAGACAAAAGTCTTGATTAAATTTCATTGGAGTTTTGAATTATCAGTCGAATTTAATTCGCAGATCTTACTTTAAATAGTAAATTTACAGAGCTACA